CTGCTTCTTCAAAAGCAAAAGTATCTCATATCATCAAGGGCGAAAGCAAAGGTATCTCATATCATGCTTTTCCCTATCTTTTCCTTTGCCCTTGTTCTCACCTGCCAAGACAAGAACAGAGAAAGCAATATGTCGGAACCTCCACTCAAACTTGCGCTGCCACCAAGAAGTGATGGTCCATTCAAATGCAAGGTTTGCATTCCACTCCTGTATCAGAAGACAAATACTACAACAGAAGATGCCAAACCTGCATAAGGAAATACCACTTCTGCAAAGGGAGCAAGTAAGGCAAGTGAAAATGATACATCGAAGCATGTGGAGACAAACACAACAAATATATATGCTGATTCATTCGCTGCTTCTTCAAAAGCAAAGGTATCTCATATCATGCTTCCTCTATGTCATTTCCTTTGTCCTTGTTCTTACTCGCATGGCAAAGTGAAAAGAGCAATCAGCCGACACTTGGAGTCAGTCTTCCGATCTGGAACCGACTACCTAGAATCTATTCCCTGGTTGCTTACCTAGCGTTGCTCTCGAGTAGTCATCTTCAACGGTTGATACACTTCCAGAGAAGGGATCACATCTACTTGGAGAACAGCTAAGACGAGTGACAATGAAACATCAATCTTGTGGATCGTCACCAAACGCAACAACTGCATATGCTGAGTCATCCTCTAACCCTCTTCAATACGAATTGGAAAGATTGAACAAAGAAACAGGTCATCACCTCCACCTCGTGCTTGCCTGCCATGTGTCTGAATCCTGAAACCACTCATGGTCTTATTTCTAATTCAAGATCAAGCCTCGATGGCCCTTGAAGAACTCACAAGTCCGATTCAAAATCAAGTGTTCACCACCCTTGAATCAAATTCAACTCCAGATAAAAGGAGTAAGTTCAGACCTTCGGAGGAGACCAAAAGAATCCTCCAGCCCAGCTCAAGATCAAGCCTCGATGGCCCTTGAAGAAATTTCCAGCCCAATTCAAGATCAAGCCTCGACGGCCCTTGGGTTGACATCTACATTAAGGGACTTCAAAACGCATCTTCTACACGTGACAAGCACATGTTTACGACGCGCCTTGAAGTGGGGGCATTTGTAGACATCAAAATTTCGGTGAAATGAATGTTGACCAATAATTAAAATTTCAACGCTCACGTGTCACATAAATTTTACATATAGCGTGTGACTCAACGAAAAATCGAAATAAATTGGAAAGGTCATCAAATAGGACACGTGTCAATACCTGGCAGAAATGATTTATTTCATCTGATTATTTAAATCCAAAAACAAGTTTTGGAATTCTATAAATAGGAAGCCAAGACATTCATTTTGGGAAAAAGAAAGAAAAAAAAGAAAGAGGGAAAGGAAGAGAAATTTACATTACACCAAAACCTTCAAGCCTTGAAACTCTAAAGCTCTCAAGCAAATCCCGAAGGATCAAGAAAGCACTCTTCGTTCTTCGTCAAATCCTCCTTCAAGATCAAGCCCCAACGGCCCTTGAAGAACTTCCACCAACTCAAGATCAAGCCCCGACGGCCCCTTGAAGAAAGTGTTCATCGTTCATCATCCGTTCATCCTAAGATCAAGCCCCAACAGCCCTTTGGATCAACAACTTCAACAAATCCACACATGCAATCGTTCTTCAAGATTAAGCCCAAAAGCCCTTGAAGATCTGCTCATCCATCAACCTTCAAGATCAAGCCCCAACGGCCCTTGAAGAACTCCCACCAACTCAAGATCAAGCCCCGACAGCCCCTTGAAGAAAGTGTTCATCATCCATCATCCGTTCATCCTAAGATCAAGCCCCAACGGCCCTTTGGATCAACAACCTCAACAAACTCATACACCCATTCTTCAAGATCAAGCCCAATGCCCCTTGAAGATGAAGGAAGATTTGTGAAAAACATGTTCATTTAAGCAACATCAATAGCATGCAATTAACAATTAAAGGCGGAATCATGCTTGTATGCACTTAAAAACAAAACATTTACCCATGAAATTCAAAGCCTAGTAGATAGGTGAACCAAGACTCAACTCAAAACAAAGTGAGTTGAGAAATCAATACCTTTGTAGATTCCTCTTTGCATAAGCAAAGACTAATCACCCAAAGAGAGGGCCTTCATTCCTTGCATCTTAGATCCATGGATTTGGATGGATGAAAAAGTTTCTCCAAGTTCCCAAAATTGAGAACCTCTAATGATTCATCACCAAGGCATAATGAAGAAGAAATGAGTGACCTTGGAGGAGTTTGATTGCTAGATAATCCCTCCAAGGTGGCCTAAATTTTAGAGAGAAAGGAGAGCTTGTGTTCTCATCCTTTCCCCAAAAATTACCATATGTAAATTTTAGGCTATAAAGTCCTTTATATAGTCCCTTCAAATAAGTGACCTAATGGACCAAAAGCCCTATTATTCTAACATGGCAAGCCTATAGGGTTTATTGGGCTTTCAAGCCCTTTGTTTATTCAAGTTGTCATACAACTTGAGTTAATGGGCTTGACATTCAAATCCCATTGGGCCTTGCGGCCCAAAACTAACCCGAGGTCTTTAACGAACTTATTCGTTTGATTAATTAACATATTAATTAATCCTAGCCTTAGATAAATAATTAAACCATTTAATTATTCTTACTCATCTCCGTTGTTTCTTCAAACTCTACCTTACTCGGTGAACGATCCATTATGTTCCTTTTAGCGAGGCAGTGGGCGATTAAAACTCTTTCTAATCGATTGTGAATTGAAACTTACTTTCAATTCTCCCGTTAGTGATAATACACTTTTAGGGCTTCCACAAACCATGGTTGACGCCTAGCAGCATGTCATGGTTACCCAAGCTAATCAGAAGAGGTGGTGAACCTATTCAGTTTTAGGATTACAAATGCAATACGGTCTTTCTCTAATACAATACTCTTGACCACATTGTTTGGTTTGATAGTTTATTCATGTCTACTATCCAATGTGAGTCTTGTGCTTATATGATTACCTTGAATGTGATTTGGAACACATTCCTAAATCTCATTCATACTTTGGCCAAAGATTCTTAATCATATCATAGAGTATTCTCCCTCAAACAGTTTGAAGGTTAGAGATCCCTTGTTGCGCATTCACTTGCCTCCATGGCTAAGTGGCTTAACCCCAACGATGCCATGGACACCCTCCTGATGGAGTGACTTTGACATAATCAAAGATTAAGGACCTAACCACAAGACAACTGTGATGCCTCAGGTCAAAAGACTAATTTGCATTATCCCAACCATGAGCTCTCATGTGACATGAATATGAGAACTCTTCGTTGATCGTGTTCAGTGAACTCATTCTCTATTGAGCACCTACGTACTTGTCTTGATGTCACACACACCAATGACTCGAGACTAGTCACTCTCCCTGAGAGAAGATATAGCACGTACTGATCTTAACGGACTGTCAATGCCCAATTGACAATCCTATGATCAGGAATGTTTAGGATGTGTCAACGAAAGAATGGTCTCATGAATCTAACTTCTTTAGATCGCATTCTTCCAATCACATATTTCTTGGACTTATCATTTAAGCATATAACATTTATATGAGACTGCTCAAACAATAATGTTTGCCCTTAATATTAAACTAGATTAGTTTAACATGTGAAATGTCCATAAAGTATCATCATATGATTGGTTTTAGGGCACATTTCCAACAGAAGATCCATTCATCAACTGTTCATCCTTAGATCAAGCTCCGACGGCCCTTTGGATCAACAACTCATCCACAAACCTACACCATACGAAGATAGAATCAGAGGATCAAATTACAAAGAGATTGTAACCCCAAAATCATTAATACAAAAATATATTTTGTACACGTATTCTTGTCTCCTGTTTCAAGAATTTTTCGTGTTTACAGCCTCGTTTTTAAATGTCATAGATTAAACATCTATTCCTTTTGCAAATCTGATTAAACATTTTCCCTACAATTTTAGTACTTTAATTTTATTTCATTAGAAGTCTATTCACGTTAGCATTCCCTTTTTTCCTCCTATTTTTTATGCATCTCTTATTATGATGATTTAAGATTTTTTTTATTAAAATATTTTTTTTAGTAAATTAAATAGAATGTAACAAATCTCGTTGTTAGGTACGTTTGGTTATATCAGTACGTTTGATTATAATGGTACATTTTGTTACATGATACATTTGAATTTTTGGTCCATTTGGCTTCTTGATGCATTTGAATTTTTGGTCCATTTGGCTTCTTGATACATTTGAATTTTTGGTATGTTTGTTTTCAAAACATAAGTTTTATTCCTAATAATGAGGAGTTACTTTTAATTAATTATTTTTTTTTATAGAAAGAGTCGTTAACAATGTAAGAGTTTAAATTACTTTAATGTTTTTATTTTTTTTTTATAGAAAGAGTCATTAATCAACGGACAATAGTCTTTTTGTTAATTCAAAATTATATGATTTATCGTTATTATTTAGTATTATCTACAATAATAAGGATTTATCTTTGATCAACTAAAAGTTGTTCCAAAGGCTTATCTACCAAAAAACAAGACTATCTAGAACATTGTGTATGAATCAAACATATTTTTAAACATTCCAAAAAGATGAAGATTTATTTTAATATATTTTATAATTGAGTACGTTTTAATTTGGGTATGTTTTCGTTTGACGTTGATACGTTTTCATTTAATGTTGGTACGTTACCAATGGCGTAGGTGTACATTTAGATTTGAAAAGTTTAAATTTTTAGGCTTAAATATAGTTGAAATTATTTAAAATATATAGCAGATATTTAAATGTAAATTAATTTCAATTAATTTGAAGTAGTTCAAGTCTGAGTATTTTAATCAAATGTTTCAAAAGCTTAATCAAAAACTCAAAAAGTATAAATGTTTAGTCTACAAAAGTTTAAAATGAGGTATCTAATTCTAATTTTCTCTAGATTTTGTCCAGCAAATTATCTTCCTCAGTGTTCCTCTTTAGAAAAAAAAGTATAAATAATAATAATAATAATAATAATAACAAGACAATATCCTCCTCTTGTTCTTGCCTCCTGCAACTTTGCATTCCCTCGCTCTCGACTCAAAGCAAATTCTTGAAAGTAAGAATTCAAGACACAAAAAACAAAAAAAAAAATCAAAGAGGAGAAGAGAAGAGCGAGCTGGGATAGAATACAGCAATCAGCAATGCCAAACTTGGTCCTCCACCACCCACCACTCACCCCCTTACTTTCCCACCTCCCACCATCATCATCAAGCTTTCCAATTCGGACCCAGAAATCAACGGCCTCGTTTCCCCCAATAAATCATGCGGTTCTGCTCCGTCGGCGGCCCAACACCATCAGGTGCATGGCGAACCCGCGCAGAGTGGCAATGGTGGCTAAGCAGATAAGGAGGGAGCTGTCTGACATGCTCTTAACTGATAAGGTCTTGCAGTACGCTATTCTTCCTGAGGTTTCTTTGGGTGCTGACCGTTACCTCTCTTCGCTAACCACCATAAGCGATGTTGAAGTCTCCACCGACTTGCAGGTACATAGTTACTTGCATATGTACGCTTCTTCGTTGTTTTGATTCTGAAATTTGGCTGTCTTAGGTTGAAATTGTAGAGCTTTTCATTGCTGTGATGGTGTTTTAGGAAAATGGTGAGGCATCAGAGACGATTCGGGTTGTTTAAGGCTGTCTTAGATTGAAATTGTATACCTTTAATTTGTGTGATGGTGTTTTATGGAAATGGGGAGGCAGGGGAAACAATTTGAGTAGCTTTAAGTTTTTGCTTATGTGTTTTCGTGCTGTTTTTGTTCTTCCTTTGAAATGGCAATAGATGCCCCCATATTGCGTTACGTAGAATTGCTTTTATTTTTCGCGTTCATGTTCATATGGAAAGTTACAAGCCCCGGGTTTTGTACCCGTTTCTGTTGAACTGAGTAGAGTACGTTTCTAAGATGGTACTGGAGGGAAGAACATGTTCCAAACTTTTCGTTGCTACCAAGCTCCTGAAATGTGGTTACTGTCATGTTGTTTTCGATAGTTACAAGCCCCCTGATTTGCGCTCGTTCGTCTTCAATGCATTCCAAATACCTTTTAATGCCATGTTATATCATTTTTCAGTTATGTTCGAAGTTGTATTATCAATTTCCTTGACATTGTGCAATTAAAAAGTCATCACCTTATAGTGGTTGTGTTTCTAAATGTTGCGTAGGCTACAAACTACTGAAACTGTCAAGATAAACTCCCTTGTGTGGAAGTTCTGTTTTTCCCACGTGATTGCCTCGATTATCGACTTGGCAAGCTCCTGTAGTAGCTTATGTACATTGTAATCACGCTTATATGTGACATTATATGTAACAAACTTGCGCTTTGCTATTTGTATCTTTCTTTAGGCCTTGGCTAAAATGGTTAAAAGTTGTTTGATACGCCCAAGGTTCAAAACTTTTGTATACTTTAAAAGGATGCCCGACTTTGGTCATATACCTTCATTGGTCAAGTACTTGCTATCTTGTTTGACCTTTCCTTCTTAGGGAGAATTCTGTAGCATGTTTAACAGTTCCTGTTAATTTCCCATTTTAATGATACTAAGGAAACCTTCTTTACCAATATTTTTGGTTGTTTCAAATAGTACCTACCTTCAATGCTTCAGCAAAGATGGTAATCTTCATCATGTGACAAAAATCTATGGTTTTGGACTTCTAGTTAACTACAGTTTGTTTATTTCACTACAGGTGGTTAAAGTCTATGTTTCTATTTTTGGTGATGAAAGAGGGAAGGAGGTTGCCCTTGCTGGGCTAAAGTCAAAAGCCAAATATGTCCGAGGTCAATTAGGAAGGCGTATGAAGCTGCGGTTAACTCCTGAGATACGCTTCATAGAAGATGAGTCTCTAGAGAGAGGAAGCAGGGTAAGATTAATACTATACTATTTTCATTGGATATGATTATCTACATATTTATAACCAAGGAAAGCAACACAATTGGTTCCTCTTGCATTAATTAAGGTTCTGATATATGTTGGTCAAAAGTATAGCCAGGTGTGATTGCACATACAGGTTGACAAGGCTTGTTAATCATGGTATTCTGCTTTGGAATTGAAGCAGGAGTATTTCGTGACATAATCTACGAATGCCAGTTGAACTGAACATGAAGTTACCAGACTTTGGTTGAGCATAATGGATTAAGGCCAAATATTGACCAACCCATTTAGAATGATTATGGCCAGTTTGTGTTTCTGGTTGATCCACATAACTGACAATTGATCCCACACAATAATCGATAAATTCAAACAGGATGTGTCAACCCTTATGATGCAATCTGTTTACCATAATGAATATTAAGTCCTACACAATATGAATGAAAGTCAGTAATACATTAGTTTGATCATCCATGCTTTTGTCTATATTGTTGTTTGTGATATAGTAAACTGAACTAATCTATATCGATTAGGATTATTCTATTTTCTGGATCAATTTCAGGTTATATGGTTAATGGTTATACGTGCTGTTTCAACCTATCATGAACTTTTCTCTTAGCGGGTTATGTGGATTGTGTCATGTAAAACGAGCACCTGTGAAAGAGTATTAATAATACTCTTGTCAAAATTATGGAAAGTAAAATATGCAGCATTGTAATAGTGGTCTCATAAATAATCAACTTGTATGGTTTCTTTGAGTGATTAGCAAATTAAAAATCAAAAGAAAAAAGGTTGAGTTGCCTCTAGGTTGCTTATGCATCCTTGAATTGCAAAAGTTTTGTCGCGCAAGATAATCGTTATTTGGACATTTTCCAACGACTGCATTCGGTTTTCTGTTTATTACTTGGTTATCTTGACTGGACTTGTGTGCTTGTAAAATTGCTTTTAAGGGGGTGTCAATATATGCTAATACAATACGTGAATGCTGAACCATTTCAGGTGATTGCTATACTAGATAAGATAAAGAATGAAAAGAAAGATTCAGAAATTCAAGATGACGAACAATTGGAACCATCCGAGGCACCTGAGGATGACGGAGATTGGGAGGGTGATGACCCTGATGAAGACATTATATACATAAAGTAGTTACTCCCCCTAGTTTCTGAGCATAATGCTATCTTGGATTGAGGCATGGCTTTTGCTTTTCCACAGGTTTGTTTCATTTTCTTGACTTTCTTAGTTGCAGCGGGTTATATGGATTGTAATCAGAGTTAACACTGCCTTGTATTGATGTAGAATTTACAGAAATTTACGTTTTAATTGTTTCTTTTCAAGTCACTGAAATCGGCGGCAGACATAATTTAAATGAAGCCGATGACCTGCAATTTAGTTTGGTAATGCTTGGTCTATTTAGGTGCAATCATTGCGTGGTTGTTGGGATCTACTTTAGGAAAGATTAGTAATGGTGCAATATTGATCTCTGAACATGTTTTCAGGGGGTTTGATCTCTGAACACCTCCCTCCGGAGGGGTTTGTTTGGGGGTTGGGACTGCTTGTAATGGTGCAATATTACACACGTTTCATTTACTTTATTACGCTCGAAATAAGTGTTATAGTATGTTGTTTATCTTGTGTGATGCAGGCGAGCGCCATAAGTCACAAGGCTAACCTAGACAGAAAAACTCTTCACAGCTGGAGCCCCATCATCTGAATCACGCGCTTCGACCATGTCATGCCTTGTAAAATTACCTATAATATTTTTGTTCGTTTCTACAGGAATGCTTGTGATTTGCTTTTTGTTTTGGTTATCTGAATCCAGAAGCAGAAATTGTGGTATTTAAAGTGCTAGATAATTCACGAAATTGACGATCCACATGATGCGAATGGATATTCTACTGTTTCTGTTCCACTAGGGTCGCTTACTTTCCGATACCACCTACTAGTTACTTACTGATGGACACAACTGAAAATTTAGCATTAGCATATCAACGAGCCTTGGACTCCGTTCACCCCCATGTCGGGAATTAATGTTGTATGATTGGAGTCTCTGAGTAGAGGTAACGATGAAAAAGAATAAATTTTTTTCTAGTGGTGCAAAAACAAATCTAGCCCTTTGGCGATGATGGTCACACCACCACGTCTCGTGATGACAAGATGTTCCGAATTTGCACAAATTTAAACGCATTTGCAATCGTTAACGTAAATTCTGAACTCGGTGGGTTATAATTTGAGTGGATGCGTAGCACGACATCAAGGGGTATGCCCTATAAATGTGTCTCCACCATCTTATAAATTGATGATGTTAAGAGTTTCAACTTGTTCAAGTTTGGTTTAGGTTTGCTTTTCCCAGTCATGTTGCTCCTCTAGCACCTTGGTTTCCCTTACAGGCAAAGTTCTTCACCACTATTTCAAGTCAGCCGCAAGTTAGGACCATAAACCGCCCTCAGATATGGTGCTCTGCTACCACTTGATACAAGGCTTCTAGTGATAGAAAGATGGAATCATTGCATAACTTTTGGAAATGAATTCCTGAAAACGCAAGAGAACTTAAAGGGGGCGTTTTTTTGCCCTCACTAAGTTGGACTGGACTAGCTATTAGTCCAATACTGTGTTTGTTCCATGCTGGGACTAACATTAATGAGACTAAATGGGACTAGCATGGACAAAACCCTTCACTAAGAGGTCTTAGCGAGACCCCCCAATAACCATGAGACTAGCTAAGACTATCCTCTCTTTCTTGTCCTCGTCATGCTCAACGACCACTCTCGACAGACTCCTCTTCATCTCCGGTCACCTAAATCAATCATTAACTTTTCGACTCTCTCTCAGATCCATTTCACAACCAACTTTCATACAAAATATACCAAATTGAAGCTGGGAGTGACAAGATTACTATTTTACCTTAATCGAGGCCAAAATGTGATCGAATGTGGCTGAAAAATGGCCTGGAAGTCTCGGCCTGTTTGGGCTTCTTCAAATACATGACAGATTCGAGCATTCAAAGCTAAGATCTCAGTCCAGGGATGGTGATGAATTTTTTGACGGTGCTAACTTCATCCAATTTAACGAGGAAATGGTAGGAAAAAATGAAGAAAAAGATAAGATCATAATAAAATATTAATAATTTATATATTAAATAATATAATATTATAATTTGTTATTATCCAGCTTCTTAGTCCAATACTGCACCAAACGCTTCACTAAGTTAATCCAGTTTAGTCTAGTCTAAGCCAGTCCAGCTTAGTCCTTGAAGCTAATCCAGTCCGAGATAGTCCAGTGCAACAAACGCCCCCAAAGAGACGTAGAGAAACAAAAGGAAGAAGCTTGTTTTTGCTTTCCAAGCTGCTGCCTTAAATGTTTCCTCATTTCCTTCAACTGTAAAGGGTCAGTTCAATTCCACCCTCCCCATATCGCTTGTGCAGTAATTTCTTGGCTACCCAAAACACCGCCAACGCCACGTGGTATCACTATTCTATTCAAATATCATAACATCAACAAATATCAAAATAGCATAGGCAAATACTGCACAAGCTTTACAAATTCTAACTTTACATTTGCCAATGCTCTCAAGGGGCATGTTTGGTAAGATTGGATTGAAATGGATAACGCTTTAACTTAAAGGTCTGTTGAAGGGAGGAAGGAAAAAATTCTGTCCAACTAGAGGGTAAAAGATGGATTACTCATAAACTTATACATTCCAATCCTTTCCAAAATGGTATGAGTCATGTCTAATCCTCTTCCAAATGAAAATTTATGCTCTTCTACCTTCAATATGCCTTGAAATTAAGGAGTTACCAATTCCAATCCAATCCAACATACCAAACGAGCCCAAAATCTTCAGGTTTTGCATCTACACTAAGGGTCACTTTGCAAAATTGAAGAAGATAAGTATCATATTAATCAAGGGAACATTACCGAATAGCAAAATGACAATTAACCATTATAACAAAATCACCGAATAGCAAAATTGAAGACTGAAAAAGATAAGCATCTTATTAATCAAGGGAACATTACCCTCAAAATCATCGCTATGAAGAGGAAATCTAAGCATCCTAAGTACTGAATTCATAATTCTCAGTCAAAAAAAAAAAAACCTGGAGCTTTAAGCAAAGATTTCATGATCCACAAAAGCTTTAAGAGAAATATTGGTACAGTCCACCCTTACGTATTATTTATATCTGAAAACCACCTCATTCTTCATTCACAACTTCTGGTAGAACACATCTCCTTCAGTGATGATCCTTTGCCGCAGCCTTTTGTTCAGATTTAGCCTTTGCCTTGGCAGGGAGAAAACATAAAAACAGAAATAAGCACTTGTGCACAAATAAAACGACATGGTGCAAGCAATCCAACAAACAGGCACAAGACTTGCACAACTCAAACAACATAAAAATAATAATTTGACATTGCATTATATGCTAGCATCAACATTGGGTTGAACAGCTTAACAATTTAAATAAAGGGGACAACTTCAGGTTACATTCCCATTCCATTAGTTATCCCTAATTAGTCAAACACTAGACCCACGTCCTTATAATTTGACAATGATAACATATATACACATATTAAGTCATGGTGAAGTTTTGATTGGGCTTTAGAGCAAAGTATATTACGGTAAATTGATACATGGTTAAAAATGTTAAAAATGTTAACACTTTGACTTCTTTCATTCTCCATTTCCAGTTTCTGCAAATTGGAGCAACCCTACTTCCTCTCTAGGACACTGGTGCTAGACTTCCTTTCACATTTGAAGGTAAATCTCAGGTTGTCCCTAACTTCAGGCAATTAATTTTACCTTAAAATCCAGCAATTCACAAAGGGTTATTTCTCTCTCACATTTTACTCAAGCATTGTTTTGGACATTGTGCTTATTTATACGACAATTTTATCAACACGTTGACAAATGGTTAGCAAATATTTTTCCTAAATCCCTCCCTTTTCTTCTTTTTCACAAAACTCTATATGCAGCCTTGTCATTTTTCTTTTTCCCTTCACACTTTTAATTGTTTCTATAAAACATATGCTACTACATTCACATTTGCAGTGACTAATTTTTCTGCCAAATCAAACCTTGTATTGAAGACTTGAGTTTCGATAGTGAGTTTGTGTAAGTTGTGTTTGTGGGTTGACTGTTAAACCACTAAGAACCTATAGTGAAGACATTGGATCGGTTGCATGCAGCTTGAGTTAAGATTTAATAGCTCAACCTAGAAGTGGTAATCTCAAAGTGCAACTCACTCAAAGTGGAACCCACCAAACTGTTTACCACAGCTTGGTTTCCTTTTGAATAATTTGGTTTCACTTAAAAGACTTCATATGCATTTAAGACTTTAGAAATGCTTTTATTTATTTCAATGGATGAACTGATGCTAGAAACAAAACTGAAGTCGAACTCTTTTAAGTTTACTTCTAGAATTTTCCCTGCATAACCTGCATTTGTTTCTTTCTTACACATACTTCCAATTGAACCCTTTCATCTTAACATAGTGGGCTGCATTATTATGCTTAGCCATTGCTCTAAAGACTCGGGCTTTTTACAAGCATAGCCAATAATCAAAGTATTGAAATTATTTTTATTTCTAGAGCCCCTCTAAAACACCCTTACACATCAATATACATTATGTGCGTTTCACAGCTTGACCATACTTGGATTGGAGGTGAAGAAGAGTTCATTCCTTGCACAGTGATAAATTAATGTACAAAATTTATAACGTAGCCTGGCTTTATTTCTAAAGTTCTGACACTATCACATAACCGTAACGTGCTCAAATTGTAAGGTATTCCACATAAACTTTGCTACTTTCACACATGCTAACAAAAGGTGGATGTCTACTATATCAGTTCTTCAAATGGTGCTTATACTCTTCCATTAAAACAAAGAAAATACACAAATTATTCATAAGAAAATGAAACCATATTATGAATACAAAAAGTAGTCTACACAATCGGGTTGACCAACATCGATTAAAATCCACATTACACGTTACAATCTACAAAAATTAAAACAAACCCAATACGCAATTTTAGTCACAAACACAATATTAACTCATAAAAATAAAAATAAAAAAGGGTCAAATTATTATTATTTTTTTGAAAAAACAAGGAAAGGAAGTACCTTGAGGTACTTGAGCTTAACGCTTCCGTATACGAGTCCAAAGGAGAATGCGGAAACACGAGCCACCTGCAAATCCCGAAAACCCCAAATCACCAATTAGATTAACACTTACGAAATTGGTCCAAAATCCACAAACTTCTCATCTTTTTCCCAAAATATAAAATCAAATAAAAAATTAGTTAGATCCGGAACGAAAAGATAAAAAAACAAGAGAAAATTTCAATGGAATTAATACCAAGGCGAGGGTGCTGGTTCCAGAATATGGTCCAGGAGGCGGCGCCATTTTTGTTGCTGGAGAGGAGACTGACTGTTCAGCAATTAGACGAACCGAACGAGAAGGAAAATCTGTAAAACCTCCCAATTCACAAAGCACCGAGCCCTACTCCTCCAGACTTCCACTGCTTTATATATCGAGCAATTGCGGACCTGGATTATCTGCCCCGTTCGGGCTTTCTACCTGATTTTCCCGGGTTCAAATCTTGATCGTCCATCCACCCGTTACAGATGGTTGGGCCCATTATTTGTGGAGTCAACCAATGAAACACTTCCTCGTTGTTTTATTGTAGGAATGGAGTTACTTAACAAGTTTAACCCGGTATTTGTAAGTTCATTCACTTTTCTTATTTTCCTGTCGACTTAAGATATAAAATTCAATACAAATATAATACGCGATCCTTGTCTATATGAGGCGAACATAAAATCTGATCGTTATCTATATGAGCCAAACATAACACTATTCACTTATATAGTGAAATGGTCATTGCATATTTCCCCTTTCTACTTCATTCTTCAAGATCTATCCATTATTTCCATTCCCCTCCTTTAATATTGAAACCTTATCTCTCCGCTTCGTCATCCATACCCTTCTCTAATCTTTAACAAGCAACTAGCCATTCTGCATGGGCTTCCATTAATCACATGGCACTAGGCGTAATTTACAGGCTAATTTCTTTATTCATTTTTCATATTTTATGTGTGCAATTTTGATACGGTGAAACTCATCTCTCTTTAGAGTGTTTCACATATTTCTTATTTTCTCGGAATCTCTCTACCGACATTACATGAAGAACTGGATGACAAAAACATAGTAGTAAGAACCGTACAATGCTTAGCCTTGTACATTTGAAGAAACATTTCATTTGCAACAATAGGTGATCTAAGACCGAAGTTGTATGGCATTCTATCACATACTTTGTTTGCAAAGAAAACTCAAGTTAGTAATTATCTAGACGCTTTACGTTTCAATTATCATTCTTGTTTGTTGATAGTGTGTAAGGTCTTGTTTGAAGTTCTCATTGCCTAAGTAAACCAAATATTTCTGAGCAGATTAAATATTATCCTCAGTCAAACAATCCCGACACATTTGAAAACAGTACATTCAAAAGAAATCTCATCATCTCAATATCTCTAAATCTCTAAATACTGGTATGTGGCTTGTGAGTAGTTATTGTTGAAACTCTCACTAAACTCAGATCATAATAATCGTTGTGGAGAAATCGGCTTCAAAACTTCTAGTAGTTTATATCCCGTTTTCTTTTACAACAAATAGAAAATTCAAAATTTTTCGTTTTCTTCAACAAAATCATCCCCGCGAAATTTTCTCTATTATTTTTCGGTCAGGTTTGGAATATTTTTTTAGGGGCTTTATGTCCAAATTTTTTTTCATGAAGCCTGGTGACTCCAAATAGGTGGCTGACTTTCTATTAGTAAAAAATTAAACATATAGAATTACAGCTCGTTTGGAAGTGCTTTTAAAATGATCAAAAGCACTTCTGGTGAAATTACTTTTGGGTACCAAAATTATTTCAAATGCTTTTTTAAAGAAGCACCAGATATTTGCTTTTTGCAGAAAGAACTTCAAGTGATTTTTCAGGATCCATATAAATTTTTACTAAGAATTGGTTTTAAAAAATATTTTTACCGAAATCACTTTTAGTCATTTTAAAAGCACTTCTAAACAAGTCTTTAGTGTCGAACAAAATTTGTTGTAGGGATTATTTTTTCACGCTTATTGTGGAGTGTTTATTAGGGTACGAAATGGAGGGGTTGGGATGATAGAGGTTGAGAGAAGAGATTCAAGAGTTATAGAAAGCTATAAAGAAAATATTGTCACTTGATAATAACTCTTTAGTTTGATAACCATTTCGTTTTTAGTTTTTTTATTTTAAAGAAAAAAGAGAAACAAAATTGATAATTAAAAGTCAAATTTTGAAAACTCAATGAAGTAGGTTTCATTTTTTGGGTTTTCCGCGTTCATTGTTTTGAAAATTGAAAATTAACTACCAAAGTTTTCATAAAAAAATAAAAATAAAAAATAAAAAATAAAAACATGAAAACAAAAATTGAAAACGAAATGGGTTATCAAACAACCTTTTACTCTAAACCTACAAACTTATCAAGATCTAGTTGGTGTTGCTGGTGTCAAAACTCGGACAAAGCTTGATTGGGTCCAACATGTATGCCCTTAAGTGTTGCTTTCGTTCTCGGATGCATGAGATGGTTCAGAAGAAAGAGAAAATAGGTGTGCCACTGTTAAAGACTACCTACAACCATTTGTGGCAATCTTTCACTGGGATGTTCCCCAAGCTTTTGAATATGCATATGATGGTTTCTAAAGCCCTCATATTGTGCAAGTGAACATATTTTATCTTATGTATAATATTGACCATTCGCTTAACTAAAACGTACTAAATCTAAAAAACAAAACATTTTGAATAAGCCATATACCTTTAGTAACCATGCTTATGCAATTAGAATCCACGCACTGGGACGATGCTCTGCTTGGCAAGACCAGACCTGCCTCGGTGGAGATTCGGCTACTGAACCCTATTTGGTAACACACCACCTACTCCTTGCTCATGCAGCTGCAGTAAAAGGGTACAAAGATAAATTTCAGGTATAATAAATTAACTAGCTAGTTCCCTTTCTTTTGTCTGAAATCGCAATGAGTCACTAGTATTATGTTCCAACACGAGGAAACATTTTGTAAGGTAAACGAAGTTTGGAGTTTGTATGGCACTAATCAAATAATTTTCTAAATTTTCTTTATAGGCATATCAAAAGGGGATGATAGGAATAACACTAGTATCACATTGGTATGAGCCTGCTTCAGATGCAAAGGAAGATATAGATGCTACAAATCGAGCTTTGGATTTTATGTTTGGATGGCAAGTGTATTATTAATTTATATATCAATTGGTTCGTACTTTTTTTATGACTATAAAGTTGATTATTGGAATTTTCACATCTTTATAGGTTTATGGATCCAATTACAAGAGGTGACTACCCGTATATGATGCAATGCCTTGTTAGAGAACGATTACCAAAATTCACGGAAGAAGAATCCAAGATGTTAATTGGGTCTTTTGATTTTGTTGGATTGAACAATTATTCTGCTAGATATGGAGCTGATGTACCTAAGAATTATTCTAAATCTGCATGTTACTTATATGATCCACGTGTTACTACACTAAGTGAGTACAAATTGAAACCTTTTATCGACTAATTAATTAATGTCTTGGAATTATTACATTCAAATATTGATCTCAGTCATATATGTCGCGGTGCAACTGTCGGGGTGGTGCGGCACGTCGGTTGGCAGGGACCAGGAGTCAGCTTAGCATGGGCCAAGAAGGTGGTGTGGTAGGGGCCATTGCTTATGCTGCTCAGCTTGATTGAAGCCAAGGATTGGCTCGGCATGGGCTGAGGAAATGTATTGGCATGGGTTACGGTTTGGGCTGCCTATCGGAAATGAGGAAACTGCCTGAGTTTGATTTCTCAGCTGCCATAGATGGAGCAGTCTGTTGGAAGTATGCCCACAAAGCCACTCATTTGATGTAATAGCTTTTTGGAATACTTATTGTATTAAACTTTTATATGTTTAATAGAGGGCAAAGCTTATTATTAATCACTATTTATAGTATCTTGTGTTTAAGCAATAAGGGAATCCAAGGAATGTATTTGATCTAAGAGACAAGTGATTTAAGTTAGTTAAATTAACGAGACCTTTCTCTTATGTTCATTCCTAAAACGTTCCTAGCCATAGGATTGCCAATTGGGCATTGACAATCCGCTAAGGTTAGTATGTGCTATGTCGACTCAAGCATGAGTATGAACTAGTCTCAAGTCATTTGGTGTTGGACACTAAGGCAAACACATAAGTGCTCGAAAGACTAATCGAGTACACTGAACAACGATCAAACGAGAGTTCGAACATACATGTCATGTGAGAACTCAATAGTTGCAATATGCAAAGTAGTCCTTTGACCTGAGGCATCATTGATGTCTAATGGTTAGGTTCTTGGTCTTTGATTATGTCAACGGCATTCCATTGGAGTGTCCACGGCATTGTTGTGGTCAAGCTATCTAGTCATGTAGGCATATGAATGCACAACAAGGGATCTCTAACCTTCCATGATGGAAGAAGAATACTCTAAGATATGATTCGAGAGTCTTTGGCCAAAGCATATGAATATGACTAAGGAAGATGTTCCAAATCTTATTCAATTGAATCATATAGAGAAGTATCACATTGGATAGTAGACATGAAACAAACTATCACTTAAACAATGTGATTAAGAGTATTGTATTAGAGAATGACCGTATTGCATTGTAGTTGTAACTGGATAGGTTCTCCAACCACTTCTACTTAGCTTGGGTAACCATGACATGCTGCTAGGCGTCACCCATGGTTTGTGGAAGCCCTAAAGATTAGCAAACACTAATTTAAGGGAGAATTGAAATGTGGTTTCAATTCACAATCGATCGTTAAGAGTAACATCGCCCACTACCTCGCTAATTGGAACCTAATGGATCGTACACCGAGTAAAGATATAAGTGAAGAAATTATATGAAATGGATAAGCAATTAAATGGTTTAATTGAAAAATGGTCAAGATTAATTAAATAGTTAATTAATTATACGAAACGTTCGTATTGGGCGTTTAAGTTAGTTTTGGGCTTCGGGGCACAAAAACGTTTTGGTCCACAAAGCCCATTATGTTTAAGTTGTATGACAACTAAAACAAAATGGGCAATTAAGCCCAATAACAACTAATGGCCGGCCATAAGGGTGGAGGGTAGTGAACTTGGCTTAATTGCAAGTTTGCCACTCCATTGTGAGGTGGTATAAAGACATCTTTATAGCCATTTCATCCTTAGGGTTTTCTAATTGAATTTGGGTGAAACCTATTCTCTCATTTTCCACATAGAGGCCGGCCACCTTAGGTGAGGAACATCTAGCAATCTTTCTTCCCTAAGTCATCTATTTCATCTTCACACAATATCTTTGGTGTGGAGACTTAGAGACACCAAACTTTTGGTGTTTTGGAGAACAAATCCTCAAATCCTCAAAGAAGAAAATGAGCACTAAAAGGGAGAAAATCACAAGGAAGATCCA